AAAAACAAAGAATATCAGCGGCCACAACATTTCCATTGTGCCTCATTTCATTTCACCTTGAAGATCTCCCTTCCCAGCAATCGACAAACTGTCTCAACTTAATTTTAGTCCTGTCATAGAGCACACTGTTTGTACTTCTACAACCATATGTATTTGGTGTTGCAACCTAACATTTAGCTTGAAGCAAGTTTAGTATGGAGATTATATATAATGAAAAACAATTCTAGCCTTGGAAACTCACTAAGGTGTAAATTGTTTACAATGTTTTCACAATGTTAGGATTTCTATCAATAATATGCATTTTAATACAATGTTAATTTGCATATTTATTAACTCATTTCAATCTGTGATAGCAAGATCTCAAACACTTGAAGTGAATTAGTGTGTTAGTTTCTGAACATCTGACTGATGATGTCATAGCTCTTTCACTGACTGTAGGGAATATTCATTTCTTAGATATAATTTATAAAAACAACAATTGCTTATTTTGTATTTACATAGGAGTTTAGCTAAAAACTGTAATTTATCCATGTCACCGATAAATTTGTTAGGTATGAATAAATAATGTCACAGTGAAAACAAGTGTAAAAATACTTAGCTGCACAAAAACAATAATGTGTTTATTTATAAGAATATAACAATGGATTTATTTATTTGGGGACAGCAAGTTCTGTATTGGGGGTTGACTATTATGTTAACTTGTTGGCAATGAATTCCATGCACTATTTCAATGTGGAAACAATATAACAAAAAATGCATGGTTGAAATTCCTAAACACTATTTCCATATATGATGAAAATATTCTTTCCTTATCAAAAATTATACAAATTATAGTTTCATTGTCAACAATCAAGTTAAGTTTGTTAATAGCAGTTTACATTTTAACAAACAATAAATTTATTATTTATTTTATATTTTGCACATTTTATAATTGTGCTTTTGTTATGTTCATGTATAAATTATTTTATATAAAATTATATATATATATATATGTATCTCCCTTTTCATCACCAGACTTTCTCACCCAAATTTTTTTGAACTTTTTGACTCCCGTGTGCAAAAGCACACAATGGGAGTCTTTCCAGTTAGCTTGTCTGTATGTGTATGTGTGTGTGTATGTGCGAGTGTTTGAGTGTTCGTCTGATATCACAAGAACCATAGGTTGGATTTTGATGAAACTTGATACATTAGTTTTTAGTTTAAATCCATACATATTAATTACCTATTTTGCATAATAACTAGCTACTTTTTAGCTGTTAAGTGACTGTTCCACTGATATCTAAAAAAACACTAAATAAATTTGGATGGAACTTTGTGCATAGATGCTTTGGTACAATGTGCAGACCTGATTGGTTTAGGGTGAAAATCTGTGCTTACTAATTACCTAATTTGCATAATGATTAGTACATTTTGGGTACTAATTATCAAAATGAAACTTGATGCATTGATGTACTAGGACAATGCACAGACCTAATAAGTTTTGGGTTAATATCTGTGAATATTAATTAAAATTACCTAATTTGCATAATTAGTACATTTTTTGCTTTTCTGCGATATTTCAAGAAATACTCATTACATTCAAATGAAACTTGGTACATAGATGCTCTAGGACTATGCTCAGACCTAATTTGTTTTGACTAAATCTGTGCATATTGATTACCTAATTTGCATAATAATTCTCAATTTTTCAGCTTTTCTATAGATATCTCAAGTTGTGAAATTTCCCCTGTGGAATTATCTCCCTATAAATCTTGTTCAACCACCCACCCCTAGAATACAGTTTTATCTCTTTCTCATTTTCATCATCTATACTTTTTCAGATTAACTTGTATAGGAAGATACCTTTACGGTTTACATCACGTCTTTGGGGCCAAGCAAACAACGTTGAAGTACCCACCTGGTTACGTATGCCAATTTATAAGCTCTACATCTGGCTCTTTGATTGTAATTTAGCGGAAGCTGCAATAGAAGATCTCAAACATTACAAAAATTTACAAGAATTTTTCCGTCGACAATTAAAACCAACTGTACGGCCAGTTGACCAAGACCACTGCGTGGTGAGTTGCAATATTAAATTTGTTATACACTGCTTGTGATGAATTTTATATTTCATATTATTTCCATGACAACCCAATTTATAGTTTTAGCAAAAATAATTTATCAACAGTAAATGTACTTTTATGATTAACCACAGTAAAAAATGATGACATGATATACAAATAAATGAGTTCAGTTTTGATAATAAAATTGAAGTCAGCATGCCTAGTGACTTGTTACTGCTACAAAAATTCAAAGTTTTTAATAACCCAGACATGCATAATGTCAGTGTACACACAATTACTATGGTATTCATGCTTCTGTGTTTTAGGTGAGTCCAGCGGATGGCAAAGTGTTACATTTCGGAAAAGTAAAAAAATGCCAATTGGAACAGGTGAAAGGAGTCAGCTACTCGTTAAAAACATTCCTAGGACCCAATACATGGGACAGTAATATTAATAATAACCAGGACAATGAATTATTAAAAAACTTCAAAGCCAATGCTGAGGTGAGGATATGAATTTAATTTTTAAATTTCCATCATCATTTTGCATCATTGTTTTTTAGTTCCTTTTCGACTGAAGTCATAAATTCAATCATGTACATGCGTGCATCCCTACCAGTATCTCTGACATGCCTGGACAAATCATGTTCAAACTTCACACATTTATCATTCATCTTGGAATATATGCACATACATTCCTTTTGTGATCCATTCAAGCACAAGGGAGTATATTTTAGTTAGGCCACACCGACTTAATTGTATGGATGACATCCTACGCGCGCATTAGTTTTCGCCTTTTCTCTCTCTCAAAAAAAAAAAAAAAATCTCAAACGACGAGTCTCTACAGATCGGTTTTCTGTCCGGAACTTGCCGACTCATATTGTCACAAAGCGCCGGCTTGTCGTAAAACTCTTTTTGGACTATCTAAAAACGTGCCAATTTTGTCGTAAATGATCTTCTGCACATGCGTATTGCGTTGCCAGGAATACGTGAGCATAACAGTTCAGAGGAAAAACTGAGGGATTGTTGTAGACTGGTACGCAATTGACGTCGGCCAGGGAAATATGACGTTTACACAGCTATACGAGAGATTGGTTAAAGCTAACCCCTACTGTGTAGAGAGGAGCAAGCAAAGACATTTCTGTATCATTGCAATGTTTTGTTAGTTATGATAAAGTAGTGATATGTACATTCCGCCTTGACTTGTACTGAAAATGATGTCCATGTTGTACCTTGCATGCAGTGTTTTTGACTGAAGGTACAGTAGAACGTCGATTATCCGAACTGTTAGGGGACATGCTTTTTGTTCGATTATGCA